GCAATCCTACTTCCGTAGTGATACTGCCTCGGAAACCCAAGGAGGGGTCGCATGAGTCGGGGCCGACTCGACGGCAAATAACAACAACAACAACAACACAGACTAGGTGACTTCCTGGAAAAGGGGATACATGGGTTATATCTTGGGTGACTAATGGGAAACCCGTAGCCACAGGAAAATACAAGGAACATAGCAGATATGGCCTATCTGGGACATCAGAGGATTGGGTTTTTCTAGAGGGATTAGTATGGCCCTGCAGGGAGGGAACAGAGAAGGAAGGGACAAAAGATGAGCCTGGAAAGAACCAAGGCCAAAAGAGAGCCTTGTTGACAGCTGCAATTCTTCCCCTCAGATAATGAAAACAATTAAGGAAAGTTGGAGGAATGCTTTTAGGCAAAACTTTATTTCTTTGAACAATATTCTAGGAAGATGTAGAGTGTAGATTGAGTATCTGAGCTCTTTTTTGCCAGTGATGTGAATTTTACCAGGTAATTGTTAGAACAATCTTATGAAGAGACACTATTATTATATGTATTTTACATGTGGAAATAGGGTAAAGGACAGTCAACTACTTGCCCAAGATCACAAAGCTGGTAGGTGACACTGGCAGGATTCAAACTCAATTTGAAAGATGGGAGAATAAATTCCAAAGTGTAAGAAATGGTTTTCATTGGGCTGTGTCATCATGGGAAAGTTAGAAACAACTTGACAGATACCTCTAAATACTTCATTATATTTTGAATGCTCTTGAACATCCATATATTCCTTTTTAAAAATTAAAATAATGACATTTCTTTGCCACATGGAACACAAAACATGTAATTTTACTAACTGTTCCCATTATGAGTTACAAATGATTGAACAAGAAAATCTTTCTGGTCTATTTGCCATAGGTTGTTACCAACTGAACCTTGAACATCAGGTATAGTTTAGGATGCTGACGTTGAAGGGAACTGACCTGACACAGAAATGTGAGCTTCCTTCTCCACACTGAGGAATGGGTTCCTTATCAAACAAGAGACACTTCCTCTGGAACCCTCATCCACAGTGATAGATGTTTCCACATGAAATAGGCCATTTTCTTTTGCTATCTTTGTCTCAGAGGATGGTGCCAAATGCTTTCTTTGCAGATCTCTCCATTTCACCTCAGGCTCTGGGTACCACCCTGTGGATGTGCAGGTTAGCTTAATTCCCCTGGTTTCACCAAGTTCAATATGAATATGAGGTCCTGTACCTGAGGCTGGGAAAGTGAAAAAGAGGCAAAGAAAGTACACTTAATACACTTATTCAAGAGTTTTATGTCCATTTCACAAGGGCCCATGAACTTGTGATCATTAATTAATTTCTATGACCCTCAACTTGCTTACTTGTGGGGTTAAAAAAAAGATAAACAACTGGCCACATAGGAATTTTAGGATTAGTAAAGTAAACCAGCAATATCAATATTTAACAAAGTGTCCAAATGCCAAGTAAGACCATATCCATTACTTTGTTTGCTTTCTCTCTTTTATGCTGTTTCTCAAGATTTTATCTGATAACCTTGAAGTTGGGTAGCAGAACACTCTATCAATACAATTAATCCCACTGCCGTTGATTCAATTTAAAAGCACACATGAGTTGGTGTTTTTAAAATTTAACTTCAGATTTCACTGAAGTCCCGGGTTCTTCAACAGCTTTTATTACCCACTCCCATGAATGAGTTGAGGCTGTTCTGGACTCAAGATAGAGTGAACTCTTTTCAGGAAGACAATATAGTATGTTGAGGCTGCCTGCGGAGACATTTTCAGCACAAACTGATTACTGACCCTGGACCAAACTTTACGTCTCCAGAAGGGAGAGATGAATTAAAGAAATCCATACCAGAGACCATATACCCTAGATAATCACAGGAATACCTGAGGTATTCTGGTCAGGAGGGTAAGGGACTTTGACTGGCACAGACAAGGACTTGTAATGCTGCACAGTACCCATCACTACACTACATTAGGTATGGGAAACTAGCACAAGTGTATTCACATCAAGAACAACCCAAGGTTCTGAGAAGTCCAATGGGATTCATTCACCTGAACCCATTAAGAATCATTGAACCAATACAGGATATTTTTTCTGGCTTAAAGTGACTGGAGATAACAGATACCAAAATGAGTCTATGCCCACTGTAACACATGGTACAACAAAACACAGCGAAAAGAGTAGCTTACCTGGAAAACATACAAAGTGCAAGCCCTTGAATATAAACAGCATGGAAGTCCTTCTCTGAGAGCAAAATTCTCTCTTGGCAACTTATTATTAAAATATTTATGTGTTGATCCTGCTAGGGACCAGGAGATATCTGCAATTATCCACATAATTTAGAAGTACGTCTTATTTCATAAATTGTGAATCAATCTTATGGACACACCGTGAAAGTTTACATCTGAAAATGTTGCATTTATCTGGGTTATAGAAGCCAAGGCATCTCTGCTGCTCACAAGGGAGCATGAGAAACTTTTTGGATACTAGGGGGACATTTTCAATATTCTTCGCCAACACCACAACTCAAAAGGATCAACTCTTCTTCAGTCTTCCTTACTCATTGTCCAGCTTTCACATGAATATGAGGTGACTGAAAATACCATGGCTTGGGTTAGGCACAAGGAGACTGGGCAATCTACTTCCGCAGTGATACCACCTCAGAAATCCAAGGAGAGGTCACTATGAGTCAGATTCAACTCAATGGCAATGAGTTTTTTTGGGTTTTTTTTCTTGGTTTTGGGTTATGCACACCTTCATCTTCAGAGTGACACCTTTGCTGTTTAACACTTCAAAGAGGTCTTTTGCAGCAGATTTGCCCAGTGCAATATGATGATTTCTTGACTGATGCTTCCATGATATACTGAAAATACCATGGACTGACAGAAGAGCAAACAAATCTGTCCTGGAAGAGGTGCAGCCGGAATGCTCCTTGGAAGCGAGAACAGCCAGACTTCATCTCACCTACTTTGGTCATGTTGTCAGAAGGGACCATTCCCTGGAGAAGGATATTATGCTTGGTAAAGTGGTGGGTCAGTGAAAAAGGGGAAGACCCTCAACAAAATGGATTGATACAGTGGCTGCAATGATGGGCTGAAGTATAGCAAGGATTTTGAGGATGGCACATGATCATGCAGTGTTTCCTTCTGTTGTACAAAGTGTCACTATGAGCCTACTCAACAGCACCTAACAACAATAACATAGGTACACTTGGGCTTAATAAAAGGGTGAGCACATTCATATGTATTTTTTGCCCTACATGTCCACAATGCAAATTAGAAAGCTAAACATCCACTTTGTCTTACTGAAAAATTGGTATAAGGGAGGCATCTGACCTCCTCTAATTTCACAAGGAGGAAGAAAGATCATTATGTGAATCAACAGCTAAAGGCTAATTCCTATGAGGGAGAGGTCAGACATACCTTTACCCTTCAAACTTTTTACCAGTTCTGACACCAACCATCCCTCCTACTGTCCCCTTTACTTCTCTGCTGAGTTTGGTAATTGGTTGCAATGGCACACAGAACTTACAGACAATACTCAAAATGTTGTGGTTTATTAGACAGAGGTAATCATATTTCAAAAAAACTTCAAAGAATCTATTAGGGGAAATGTAGAGCAAGATGTCTGTTGGTTAGCAGAAAATTTAGCTCAATAATTTGTTTAAAATTTGCCAGTAAGTCTCTTTGTAATAACTTCCATTAATTTATGAAGAATCACCTAAGTGTCTGATTTTTATAATATAAATGTGAGTCCGAAAAGTACCTAGGCATATCCAGAATCTCTGTGATAGACAAAGGCTGCTCTCCCCATTGCTATTGACTTTCAGAGATTATTAATGAATGGGAGGCAGGAATGTCTACAGACAGGCCAGCGCATCCTGGAGGAAAAGTTTTCCCAGCCTTTGGAAGGTCATTATTATTGGATTGGGTTGGTTCCTCCTGAGGGCCATTACAGACAATTCTACTCCTTTGAAATTCCCTCAGTAATTGAGTTATCTCAGCCAAGTCACAAATTCTGATGTTCTGGTTACCTAGTGCTGCTCTGATGAGAATATACCACAAATGGGATGGCTTCAACAAACTGGAGTTTATTATCTTACAGTTTGGGAGGCTAGAAGTCCAAGATCAAAGTGCTAGGCTCTAGGAGCTTCAGCTCTGCTTCTTGCTCCCAGCCCACTGAAGCAAGGAGCATCTCTTCACTCAGGCAGCTACTGGCTGCTGAGGCTAACAAGCCCAAAGTCAACAAATATGGCACAGTCCTGATGTTACCAAACCACACAGCAGCCCATTAATTCAACTCCATTGAAAGTCCCAACATTGGCAGAGTATGGCAGGCTGCTGAACAATGACATGGCTACATACAGAGTTCAAGTGTCCCATAAGCTAGAGACCATTCCCAAACCTATTTCTTACATATGGGAAGCAGACAACATCCCTACAGCAGCTACTCAGCTGCTTGTGGTAGGTCCCACCATGGAGCTGATTGCCAGTCTCATCATAGGGAATAACTACCACCAGCTGCCCAGCCACTCAACCAGGCCCCACCAAGTTGACACACAAACTTAACCACCACATCTGCTTAGCAATCTCAAGAAGGAAAGAAAACATGGTTTAATTTTGTTAAGGTTAGACAACAGTTAATATTACACTCTATTCTTACTCCATTTCTCTTTAAAATTCTCAGTGTAACTGACCTAGAATGAAGCCTTTGTTTCTCTGTACAGGAGGTTCTCCCTGTATGCATAAAAAGCAACTGCTCAAACAAACCACATATGATTTAATTTCTTTGTGCTTTGTTTTTTAACACACAGGAGCAATAATGCAGAAAATATGGGCCTGATGATATGGGTCAGATTGCTCCTGCTTCTGCCTAGTTCCTTCTGAGTTGCAGCACCTAGACTAACCACTTTAGATGAGTTTCTGGAACTCTTCAGAGATGGAATATACTAGACTTCCTGCTTTTTTCTTTCTTTTGGCAATTATGTTGTCAAAGAAAAAAATGAACATACATTTTTATTACAGATTGAAGACCTTGGAAAAGACAGATTAGATGAATTTCAACTCTAACATTCTTGGCATTCCATTACAGTGTTTGTATAGACGAGCCACCTATGTCCATACACACCAATATCTACTCTAACAATTTAGACTGGACAAAAATAATTTAATTTGCCCGAGAATTCTTATTCCAGATGCTCACCTGTTACCAAAACTTGGAATTGTGCTTCACTGTAGTATGTGGAGCTTATAAATAAACACCTGTAGTCCCCTTCATCTGAAGGGCGAATGTGGTGAATCCTAAGGGTCACCTGCCCTTTAGTGATGTTCTCCCTCAGGAACTCTGTGCGACCTCGGTACTCTGGATTCTGCTGCTCTAGCTGGTCCTGTGAGTTCATATAATGATGCACCAGGCTTAAAGTACTGTCATGATACCATCTCACATCCATGTTCTGAGCATCCATTGGTGGACTGAGATGGCAGGAGAACACAGCCTCTTCTCTTACCAAGGCAGTGACTGGTGCTCTTGGTCCTGTCACATGGAATTGCCCTGGGGAAAAAATAAGAAAGGGATAGAATCAGCAATAACACTGTAGCACTGTGGCTATGACCATTTGATGAAAAGGGAAGCAGATAAGACAATAACAATATTAACTTTGTGATCTATAGTGTTTTCCGATGAACTAGGAAGAAAGACCTGGAGATCTCCTTCTGAAAATCAGGTAATAAAGGCAATTACGTAACAGAAATGATCATCTCAATTCCAACTTAATTTATAATAAGGGATGTGTACCAAAAGATGATGTCAAGGCCTCTTACCTGAAGACAAGTTATCCTATCATTTGTATTAAGAGTACATATGTAATAGATTGTATCTGCCTGAATAGATGAAAAGGGTGAGACTTCTTTCTGTCTTTGCATTCTCATTGGTGGATTGCTTTGATGCCACCAATCACATCAGCAGATTGCCTATGATATGCATCACAATGTCATTTAACGTTTATTTAACAATAAAATTATCTACATCTATGAAGAGGATTTTTCTGTATTGGCAGGAGATTTTGTTTTCATTTTTTTCCCACAGATAATCTTATATTTCATTCTTTCTTACTATTACCATTAGTAGTATACCATACATAGCATTAAAAATAAGCAAAATCAAAGAAACTGAAATATAAATTCTATTCAGAGCAGTTATTCTGTACACATAAAAAAAGACCATTCTGCTTTAAAAAAAAAAGAAAAAGAAAATAAAAAACAGCAAATGGTTTGAAACTGGCTAATTACAACATGGCTTACAAAGAGAGGAGGAGGGAAAAAAATAGATTAACCTTAGCTAATTGAAACTTGCCCTCTGTCTTTTACTGATATATCCAGTCACAATGTGGCCTCTGACCCTCCACCTACCTGCAGCAGGCATGATATCTTTTGAAATTTAAAGTAAGCTTAGATCTGGTGGCTTAATGCCTAAGGCATTTGACTGCTAACTAGAAGGCTGGTGGTTCAAAATGCACCAGCCACTCATTGTAAGGAAGATTGGGCAATCTACTTCCATAGTGATACTGCCTCGGAAACCCAAGGAGGGGTTGCTATGAGTAAGATTTGACTTAACAGCAGTGAGTTAGTGAGCTTCAAACAGGAAAGAAAAGAAGAACAACTGGGTGGAAAAAGCCACTGGCAGGATTTGGTTAGAAGTTTTTAAGATTAGTATTTGATTTTGTGGGTAAAAGAAACCCTAAAATCAAAATAAGATGTTATTCATTTGTCTTTGAAAATAGAGTATCTCAACCTAGAATAACCCAACCCCTCATATATTTAACTGTTCTTGACATAAATATGGCAGGAAAGTTCAGATGATTGAGATATATTTTCTCCATTTGGATTAATATAATTCTTTCACTTTTACATACTTCAAGGACTTTCTGTGTTTAAGTAAGGCACTCACTACTTTAGGCAGAGATAAAGGAACTAAGCAGAAAACAAAAGTGTCTCATCAAAGTGTAGGACAGAAAAAGAGTCAAAAGAGAACCTACAGATTGGGAAAAAATATTTGGTAATAACATATCTGACAAGGGACTTATCTCTAGAATTTATAGAACACTCCAAC